GAAGGTCTTCCTTATGCCTTGGAGGTTGTGGCACATAAAGAACCTGAAGTCTCTTCACGAGGCTATGAGACATTCTTGAAACATCTGTCCCTGGACTTACACAGGAACAAGATATTCAAAACAAAGTAAAGTTAAAAAAGTCAACAAGATTTGGTAGACTAGAGGAGTTGTCCACAGTTCAGATTACAAGCCTCTTCCCGCTGTACACTCAGACAATTACGTGGCATACAACTCTGCCCTATACAAAGACATATTGATGAGCAATGTGTGGATTGGAAAGATGATAAAAGTATGAGATGTTAGGACCTCCCTTAGAAGTTGGCTCATGCAGAGCCACTATAATGTCATATGACTAAGGAACAACAGAATGCCAGGATTAGACATATAGACAAATTCTATAAAGATATAAATGTGAACATTGATTGTATTATGCCAGAATTTAAATAATAACTACAGCAGTTTTAGCCTGAGGATTTTTCCTGGGCACTCTGACCACTAAGAGTTAATAATACATTGCTTGAGACATGGCAAAATGCCCAGGGTAGTTGAAGATTTTTGTTTTGGTCTAGTGTCCAAAGCAACCAGCCTGAGCACAGGCTGTCATATGCCTCTAGAGTCTCAAAAATTGGGTTATGGGGTTAATGAGTAAGAATGATAACTCTGTTTATTAATGATGTCAAAACTTGAGGGAAAATGATGGAAATGATAACTCTGTTCTGTCATAGTTTATTAATAATGACTAAAAGATGAGCAAAAGGAAGTGAAACACATGTCCAAAACAAAAAATGATATGATCTATGTTTTGGAATATCATGAATGTATTCCTGCTTACTAAATTCTGTATAAATAAAGAAACACTCTAGCTGCTAGTCAGTCAGGCTGCAAGATTCTCCCGACCACCATGGCCTGGCTCACTTCCTTCCCCAGCCGACTCCTTACACCCTCTGCAGGACCTACCCACTGCCAGGGATGGCTTCCTGCAATGGGGCTTCCTTATGAGAGTCACACTTACCCAGTCAGTATACATTTTTGCCCTGTAATTGACTTCCAATACTTTTGTCTCCTTTCTGAATTCTTTCTGTGATGGATACTTGTTGGTGCACATCTACAATTCCAGCCCTTGGGGAGTGGAATCAGGAGGACAGAGTTCAAGGTCACCCTCTGCTACAGCAGGAGTTAAGGCTAGCCTAGGCTACATGAGAACTTGTCTCAAAAACACAAAAAAATGGAATAAAATACAAACAAGAAAGACTTCACCATTAGTAAGAATATCTTCTAGACACTATGTTTGATGACTAAATTTGAATGTCTGACATTGCTGGCCTAGACAGCATCTGTGGATAGTTAGATCATCCTCCTGGAAGCAACTCTTGTCAGATGAGTGCTTTCTTTTGAATTTTTGTAAACATGTATTTATTTAGTGTGTGCATGCGTACAGGTATGAGAGGGAGCACACATGTGAAGGTCAGAGGACAGCACATGGAAGTCAGTTCTATCCTTCCATCCTATGTGTCTGTGGGCCCTAGGGATCACACTCAGGTCTGTCAGCCATGGCAGCAAGTGCCTTTACCCACTGAGCCATCTTGCCAGCCCCCTAGCTTAGTGCTTAAGAGGGGATCCTCATTTTCTAGTTCTAAGACTCATCACTTTAACTGTTATCTGCGCATCACCTCTGTGCATTAGCCTATTACTTCGTGGGTGGTTGGTTGGCTTTTTGAGATAAGTTCTCAATATGTATCCTTGGCGACCGTGGGACTTGCTATGTGGATCAGGCTGGTCCTGAACTTGCAATGACCTTCCTGTTTCTGCTTCCCTAGTGCTATGGTTACCAGCAGGTATCACCGTGCCTGGCCAAAATAACAAAATTTTTTATTGTTTTTGTGACTTAACACAGGATCTGTGCAGGCTAGGCAGGTACTCTACCACTGAGCTGCACATTCAATCCTGCCTATTTATATTTAAGAAATAGATTTTCAACTCATGCATTTTAAGTATTATCCATTTTTACAAAGGATTTATCATTATTTTATGTCTATGAGTGTTTTTCCTAAATGTGTACACATGTGTGCAGTGCCCTTGGAAGCCAGAAGAGGGCTTTGGAATCTCCTGGATCTCCTGGAACTGGAATTACAAACAGCTGTGAGCGGCCACTTGGGTGCTAGGAACCAAACCTAGACCCATTGCAAGAACAGTATTCCTTCTTACCTGCTATCTCTCAGCCTCAAGGCATTTCAAATTTGTTTTTATTTTGATTTCTCTAAGTTGAGGTGTTTATTCAATGATAGCATAGCATAGCATGCCCCAGACTCTGAGTTCAATTTCTAACACACACACATACACACACACACACACACACACACACACACACACACACACACACTCACTCTCAGAGGCTCACTATAGAATCCATTGAACTCACAAACTAACTTCCAGCTAGTAGGTGCTGGGAATACAAGCACGCACTACTATGCCCAACTAAAGTTTATTTATTTATTTATTTATTTGTTTATTTGTTTGTTTGTTTTGTTCTGTTTTTCTCAAGACAGAGTTTCTCTGTGTAACAGTCCTAGTTGTCCTAAAACTCAATTTGTAGACCAGGCTGGCCTTGAACTCACAGAGATCTGCCTGTGTTGGGATTAAAGGCATGTGCCACCACACCTGCTATAAAGTTTATTTTTTAACTGAAAAGTATAAAACACTTGGAGCTGGAGAGATGGCTAAGTAGTTTAGAGCACTTGTTGCTCTTCCAGAGGATCTGGGTTCTACTCCCATCACCTAAATGGTGGTTCACAACTGTCCATAACTCCAGTTCCAGGGGACCTGACATGCTCTTCTAACATCCGAGGGTACCAGGTACGCATGTGGTACCTCTGCATGCATGCAAGCAAAACACTCATACACATAAAATGAGTAAATCTAAAAACTAATTTTTAAGAATGTATAAAAGATATGGCTCAGAGGTTAGAAGCACTGGCTGTTCTTCAAGAGATCCTGAGTTCAAATCCCAGCAACCACATGGTGGCTCACAACCATCTGGAATGAGATCTTGCGCCCTCTTCTGGTCTGCAGGGATACATGCAGACAGAGCACTGTATATGTAATAAATAAATCTTTTTTTAAAAAAAAAAGAATGTATAAAATGCCTCGTGAATTTGCATATGATCCCTGTGCAGGGGCCGTGCTAACTGTCTATCACTGTCATTTCAGTGTATACACTGCCCACACAGGTACAGGCCACCATCAATTTTGCCTTCTAGCCAAGCATTTCCCCAGTGCGGGTTTTACTTCCTCTGTGATGGCTTTTCATCACTCCAGGCTACAGCAATTATACCAGATATGGTTTCAGAATTCAGCCTCGAACCACGACTAACATCTTTGAATTTTAGCTCTATGGGTTCCTACTTCTGCGTCCTTGAGCATGTCATGGAACTCTGTAGCCCCCTCCCGCCCCCCCCCCCCTCCCGGTTTGTTAAACAACCAACAGCTTCTAGGCAGCGACAACGTCCTCATAAAAACATGTCTCTTACTTCTTCATCTCCCTCCAAAAAGACCACAAGAAAACAAAACACCAGTGCCGAGCATCAGTTCCTAGTTCATAGATGTGAAGTAATGGTGCTCTTTAGCCGTGGGCCTTCGTGCTGTGGGGCCCGCCCACTGTTCTCATGCGTACTATAGCAAGTGCTCTGAAACGCCTACTGCTGGAAGGCATGGACTCTTCACCTGGATCTGCAGACGCCTGATGGGTAACTAAAAGAGAATAAAGTTTGGATTGAGATGACTGACTGGAACACGGTTTGACCAAGACTTTAATTATTGGTAACTGACCCCTGTCCCAATTCTTCCTCTTATTATGCCTAAAGTTCAGGTCAGTAGCCTGGAAACGGACTGCAATGCTTGACTGCTGTTTTCTCAATGTGGCTATAGTAACTAAAATCCTTTCATTTCCACCCCCCTAAACACACACACACACACACACACACGCACGCACGCACGCACGCACGCACGCACGCACGCACGCACGCACATGCACACACTTTGGATACAAGATCTCACTATTGGCTTGGAACTAGCAGCATAGACCAGGCTGAAACTCAGAGGTCTGCCTGCCTGCCAGGCTAAAGTCCTTCCTTGCCTTTTCACTATGATTCCACTTTGTTCTCCTCGGGTAATACCAAACTTGGAATGCTCAGAATGAGGCTTCTAGCCTGGGACTCTGGTTACATCACCACAGGAGGAAAAGCAAGGGTGCTCCTCAGGGGGACACACTGTGACTCTGCTTTTATTTTTGACTTGCAGCACCAAAAATCTTGGTAAAAAAAACTATATGTACATATTGGTCTGTGTTTTACTACGGATCACATACACTGGAAAAACTGGAGATTTTATAGGGAAAGTTGTTTTATTCTCCAAATGGATGAATCCACAGGTAACAAGTACAGGACAAGGATCCAGAGAGCAGCAGAAAGGCAGGAGTGCATACTGTTCTTACAGAGAACTAGAGTTTGGTTCGCAGCATTCGCTTAAGGTGCATTACATGGCCTGTAGTTCCAATTCTAGGAGAGCTGTCGCCCTCTTCTGGACTCTGTACAACCACCATACCCCACTCCCGCACCACCACCCCAAATACACATGGAATTTAAATATTTTCTCTTTCTCCTTTGAGACAGGGTCTCACCGTTATAGTCCTGGCTAACCCGAAACTCGTTTTGTGGACTAGGCTGGCCTCCATAATCACAGGTCCTCCTGCTTCTGCCTCCTGAGTGCTGAGATTTAAAGACTTCTGTCACCTCGTCCAGCCACAAATAATTAAAACCTTAACAATATAAAAAATAAAAAAATTGCCGGGCGGTGGTGGCGCACGCCTTTAATCCCAGCACTCGGAAGGCAGAGCCAGATGGATCTCTGTGAGTTCGAGGCCAGCCTGGTCTACAGAGTGAGTTCCAGGAAAGGCTCCAAAGCTACAGAGAAACCCTGTCTCGAAAAACCAAATATATATATATATATATATAATAAAAATAAAAAATGAAAAAATTAAGAAGCAACAAGCCTCAGAAGTGGGTGTGGCCTTCAGGCGACTTGGGCTCCCGGAAGCCCTCAGGCCCCGCCCTCCGCCCCGCCCGCTTCAGTTCCCGCAGGCCTCGGGGGCCGCCGGGGCCTGGCTGCGGGTGCTGGGCTGGAGCTCAGGCTCTGCGGCACGGGCCGGTGGGACGTTGGCCGGGGCGCGCTGCGGGGCGGAGGAAGCGTCTGGCCGCCTCCTCCCAAGCCCGCCTCGGGTCGCGATGTCGTCCGGGGCCGGTTCTCGGCGGTCGCGGGAGCCGGCGGAGCAGGAGCTGCAGCGGCGGCGGGAGCAGAAACGGCGGCGGCACGACGCGCAGCAGCTGCAGCAGCTCAAGCACCTGGAGTCCTTGTGAGTCGGCGGGGCCGGGGACGCGGGCTGAGGGACGGTGCGGCCCGGGAGCCCAGGGCCCGGGGACCGCCTCGCCTGCAGCGGCCGCAGCCGACGGGTGGGCGTCGCGGCCTGACGGGCCCCCGGCTCCCTACGCGGGAGGGAGGCCGGCTAGTGTCCCCGCCACGGCTGCGGTGGCGGTGGCCGCGTCCGGAGGCCGAGTTCTGAGCCCCGCGGCCCCTGGGCACCGTGCGACGCAGACCTCGGGTCCTCTGCCGCCGACGGGACGGGCGGGAAGCTCCGGGTGGAAACTGCGGAAGACACGCGGGAAGGCGGCTGCCCTCCCCACTCCCCCGCCGAGGGTGGAGCCCGGTGACCTGCGGCGCGGCTGTGTGGCGTCGTGCGGAGGTGACGGAGGGTGGCGGGCCTCGGCTCTATGAACTGCACCAGGATAGAAGTCAGAAGCAGGGACAGAGCTTAGGGCCGCTGAGCGTGGTAGAATTGGAGAACAGAGGTTTACTTGTTATGCAGACGAGTCTGTGTGTGTGTGTGTGTGTGTGTGTGTGTGTGTGTGTGTGTGTGTGTGTGTCTGTCTGTCTGTCTGTCTGTCTGTGCCTCTGTGTGTCTGTCTGTCTGTGTCTGTGTGTTTCCGTGTTTCCTCAGGTGCCATCCACCTAGCACATTTTGTTTTGTTGAATTTTCCCTTTTATATCCTGGCCCCCACTACCCCGTGTATCTTGTTCATTTCTTCTTAAGACAGGGTCTCAATGCCTCAGACTAGAGCGGGGGCCTCTTTAAATTTTTCTACATGTGACCCCTTTCACTTTCACCTAAGAAATTTTTACACTACTGCAGATATATGGGTATATAAATTAGGGGATACAAATCAAACATTACTGATAGAGTCATAAGGAAATTTATTTAAAACAGTTCTTTCTCATACATATAATTTTACCATTTATTAAAGACAAAAGCAAGTTTGCATACTAATGAGATAGAAGTGCTTGTTTATTTTTACATAAATAATTCAGTCGTGGCTGGATATTTGAATACTGAAGAATGTGGAGCATCTTCAGCATTTTTCAGAGTTGCTTTATATTTTGATTTTCTAAGTGTTGGAGTTGTGACACCACTGCCACTGTGCATAGGCACATGGTATATAGTATAATAGCAGAAGTATAGTATAATAGCAGAAGTACATACATACGAGCACACCAAATAAATAAGTACATAAAAATGTAATAAAATATCCTAACACAGTACTACACAAAGATAGCGCTAACTTAATGCACAACCGAGTGATGGTAATAGGAAGATACTGAAAGCCTCTGTTTCCCATGATTGAACCATCGCTGGTATTAGAACCTACTTCAGAATTCCAACATCTACCAAGGATCAACTGAGACGTCCAGCCTTGTAGGCTGAACAACTGCCGCCTTCTTGGAATAGGCTTTCCATTTTGCCAACACTACAGTTACTGAAGCCTCTCCTAGAAGCACAGAGAGCGCTAAAAATCCATGGTGTGAACTGTTTGAAGAACTTACTGAGATAAATGCATTTGATGATCCTGATTCACCTGTTGTAAGGAGCAAGAAATTTAGTGACTGTACATAAAACTCTCAACAACCAGTGGGAAAATAAGGAGAGCAATGGTGCTGGCTGGTTGCTTTCAGCGTCTCTGGGTACAGTGACAGAGGGAAGTATGACCTCAGTGATAGAATTGACTGGCTCCAGATGTGCGTGAACAGCCTAATGGTCTAAGTGTGTGCTGGAAGAGAATCTTCTCTTCAGCAGCCATAGAGCTCAAGTTGTGGAAGATCCGGCCAAAGCACCCATTTTAAGATTGGCTGAATTACAACAAAATTGAAGTTCTAGCCACTGAGCGGGTCATCAGTTAAAGTAAGGGCACTGATTGCTAAGGAACTGGATCCTGTACTTGGGATGGAGATGTGTGAGAGGACCCTCCTGAGGCTGAGGACTCTGAACCCTCAGATTCTCCAGGGTTTATCTCACCTGGGGAAGTAGTCTCTCCACCCTTAGCAGAGAATGCACCCATACCCCATCCCCTATAGCATTGGCCTCTCTGCATTTGCCTAAGGGATTCACCTTCACTGTCTGCCAGACAGCAGTGACTCTCCTGAAAGAGATGCCAGGCTAGATACTGGTGTCCCCAGGGCCCATTGATAGTTGCCTCTAGATCTATAGCCAGACTTAAGGCAGGCTCCTAGAGGAGAGATAGAAAGTGTAGTCCGTGAGGAGGTGCACCATACCACTAAGGAGCTTAATGAGTTTGCTAATTCATTCAAGCAGAAGTTTGGGGGATGTGTATGAGAATGGATTTTAAGGGTGTGGGATAATGGTGGAAGGGACATAAAACTGTATCAGAATGAGTTTATTGATGTGGGCCCACTGAGTAGTGATTCTGGGTTTAACATGGAAGCTCATACAGTTTTTTCCAAAGGTGTCAAAAGCTGATTGGTTTGCTGAAGCATTTGTCAAAAGGTGGCCTACTGAAAAAGAGTTGGGGGTGCCTGGTGTCCCTTGTCTTAGTATTGATGAAGTTAGAGTGGGTACACTGTGTAAAACTTAGCCCTCCACAATAGGAAGACCCAGAAGACGTGTCCTTCACTAATCTTATGCAAAATGTGAGGGGACACCTGTACATTTGAAGATCTTTGTTGCCAGAGCTTAGGGATGGAGATGTTGCTGCTGGTTAGATGAATTAAATGGGATTGGTTTCGTGGTTATCCTAATGAGTAGCACAGGCAAAGCAATGTCTGTAATGGCCTGACCTATAAAGGGCATCACAGGCAAAGTGATTTTTATGGTGGCATGACTTGTATGGACCTTTGGTACTGGCTAATTAGTCAGTGTTCAGGAATGAAATAGATAAGAAGCCTACTATGGTTTTGTTTCATCTGTATAAACAGAAGAATTCTCAAGCAAAAGATAGGCTACATGGGACTGTGAACTGATTTCAAGATGAGCCAGTTTGCAGACCCAGAACACCTTGAATGAAAGGACAGTCAGGTTCCCCTAGGGAAGGACCTTGCTAAAATTCCCAAGAGTCTACTGTTAGCATTTCTCCCATCCTTCCCAAGAAAGATCCATGGCCTTTACAAGGATAACTGTACACAGTGGGGAAGGAAACAATCAGACTTTCTAGGGTCTATTGGAAACCTGTTCTGAATTGACAGTGATTCCAAGAGACCCCAAAAAGCACTGTGGACCTCCAGTTAAAGTAGGGGCTTATGGACCCGGTAGTTAATGGAGTTTTGGCTGAAATCCAACTCACAGTGAGTCCCCAAACTCATCCTGTGTTTATTTTTCCAGTTCCAGAATATATAATTGGGATAGATGTACTTAGAAGCTGGCAGAATTCCCACATCGGTTCCCTGACCTGTGAAGTGAGGACTGTTAATGATTGGAAAGGCCAAGTGGAAGTCACTGGAGTTGTACTAGGGAAAATAGTGAACCAAAGACAATATTGCATCCCAAGAGGAATTGCAGAAATTAATGCCAACCATCAAGGACTTGAAAGATGCAGGGGTGGAGCGGGATGTACAGAGAAGCCCTATCTTGAAAAACCAAAATGGGGGGCGGGGAAGTATTTGATAACTCAATAGTTGCAAACCACGTAGCAGATGTGTTAATCTGCACAAGTGTTGACACCACATCTGGTACAGAAGTGGCAATATTAGTCATTCCTTGACTGAGTTTTTGATAGTCAACTGTCAGTTCTCTGCAATCTGTCTTGTGTAGACCAGATAGAAGAGTTAAAAGGAGATACAGTGGGAACCATCAGCCCTGTACTTTTTGTTGTTGTTGGTGGTGGTGGTGGTGTTTGTTTTTTGAGACAAGGTTTCTCTGTGTAGCCCTGGCTGTCTTGGAACTCCCTCTATAGACCAAGCTGGCTTCAAACTCACAGAGGTATATCTGCCTCTGCCTCCTGAGTTCTGGGAGGTATGCTCCACCACCGCCAGGCTGCAAATGCTTTTTCTTAAGTACCTGTCGATAAGGGCCACCAGAAGCAATTTTCTTTCAGTTGGCAAGGCCAGCAGTGTACCTTTACAGTTTTATGTCAATGGTAGATTAACTCTCCAGGCCTGTGTCATAACATAGTTCAAAGAGATCTTGATTATCTGTCTCTTCCCCAAAATTTCACACTGGTCCACTCCATCAGTGACATTGTGCTGACTGGACCAAGTGAGCAGGAGGTAGCAACCACTTTGGAGTTGTTGGTCATGGCTATGCGCATCAGAGGATGGGAAGTAAATCCAATAGGAATCCTTAGGAGTCCAGTGGTGTGGGGATGCAGAGATACTCCTCCTCAGGTGAAGGAGAAGTTACTAAACCCGGCCCCTCCCACCACCAAGAAAGAAGCACAACGTTTAGTGGCCTATTCGGATTCTAGAGACAGCATGCTCTACTTGGGTGTGTTACTCTGGCCCATATACCAAGTGACTCGGAAAGCTGCTAGCTTTGAGTGGGGCCTGGGACAGGAGCGACTCTTCAACAGGCCCAGGCTGCTGTGCAGGCTGCTCTCCCACTTGGACCACATGATCCAGCAGACCTTATGGTACTTGAGGTGTCAGTGGCAGATAGGGATGCTGTTCGGAGCCTTCGGCAGGCCCCTTAGGAGAATCACAGTAGAGACTTTTGGGATTTGGGAGCAAAGCTCTACCCCTATCTGTAGAAAACTATTTTCCCTTTAAGAGACTGCCCTTGGCCTGCTATTGGGCATTAATGGAATCTGAACGTTGGACAATGGGCCACCAAGTTACCATGTAACGGAGCTGCTCTTCATGTGTGGATATTATCTGACCCACTGTGATCACTGTCCTTGGTTGTCAGCTTGACTATATCGGGGATGGACTACAATCCAGAAGTGGAGGGCACACCTGTGAGAGAGATTCTGCTTGGTTTGAAGTGGGTAAATCCACTTCTAGTCCAGACCTTTGAGGAGGGAAGACACACCTCTAATTCTGGTCTTGAGGTGGGATGACCCATACCTTTAATCC